GGGCAATTATATGGGAATAAAATAATATATGCTTAAAAAAACACAGAATGTCTTAATTCTTCATATTACATAAGTTTTTCATTTTTCAAGTTTTTCATTTTCAGTTTTCAAGTTTTTCATTTGTATAAACTTCCAACTGTGGTGGTCATTGATTGGAGACAATACAGAATGGCGCAGGGATGTTGTTTTCAGTGATATGAAGTACAGGGAGAGGGTACTTCTAAGAAGACCTCTCTCTCCACCTGCTGATGCTTTCCTTCCAGAGCGTTCCTCCAAGGTGATGCAGTAACTAAGTTGCCTGCACCAGGGTTGTCTCCCATCTGGCTAAAAATGCAGACTTTCGGCCCCAAGGCCGCTGATATACCCTCTCTACTGGTCGGGGGCGGGGGGCAGTGGAGGGGCAGGGAGTCAGGGATCTTAGCTGACCCTCATAAAACTGTGCTCTGAAAACCATTTTTCTGCGGGCTCTATCCTCAAAGTAAAGCCACAAAGCGTTAAGTGGATTGAAGAATAATTTTTAATTCTCAACTGTACAAATTGAATTTTAAAATATAGGGATAAGGCACTACCATAAATCAAGAAATAAAATTAATTTTTACAGCAATCTCAATCTTGTGTTAGTTAGCATTTTAGTATAGCAGGATAACATGGTAAGAGGATATAACAGCACAGACAGAATGCTATGGTTAAGAAATCTTGAGCAAAATCGAAGTACATTAATTACTCACAGAGATTTATAGTCTAGGGCCATTAAAGTCAATATAAAGGTGAGTTAATAATATGCCTGGAAATTGCATGTGTAAAAAGAATATACTACTTTTTAAGGACTTAAAAAGATATCAATCTTCATATATCAGAGGACAAGCATAATCAGGTTTAAAAAAAAAAATCCCAGTGCCTGATTTCAAAGACCAACTCCACAGAACCAGACCAATAGGCCTTCTATTACTAAAATACCTGTGTGTTACCCCACTACCAAAACACTAAAAAAACTGAAACCCTAACACACTGAAGTTTATATCCACAATAAACGAAATAAATCAATATTCCTGTTGAAATGTGCATAAATTAAATCTAATCACAAGGAAACCTCAAATCCAAATTGAGAGACTTTCTACACAGGAACTCCTCTGTACTGTTGGAAATGTCGAAGTCATGAAGCATGAAGAAAAGTCAGGGAGCCACTCTAGACAGGAAGAGGTGACAAGGAACTGTGACGCTTGAACCGGGACCACATCTTGCCCAAAACATGTTTGTGGTTTGTTCCCAACACCCTGCTGAGGAAGTTTGTGTGAGGTCCGAGCTGAGAAAAAGATACTCTATCAACATGAATTTCCTGATTTGGGTCATTGTACTGTGGCTGTGTATGAGGATGTCCTTGTTCTTAGGGAACATACAGTGAAGTCATCATAAGTGATTATTTTCAACTTACTCTCAAATGGTTCACAAAATATTACAGAGAGAGAAGGAGTGAGGAAGGGAGTGAGAGGGAATACTACAGCAAAAGGGGCAAAGTGTTAGGGCTCAGGAATTCAAGGGAAGGCTATCTAGCATTCTTGCAACTTTCCTATTAGGTTTAAAATTATTTCAAGAAAAAAAATGCTAAAAATATTTTTTAAAGCTGCTAATAGGAATGCTAAAAAAAAATCTGAAAACTTTAGAACATATTTTTAAGCTTCAGATCTGGAGGAATGACTTATGTCTATTTCAGTTGTTTTGAAATCTAGACTAAAAATATGAACAAATTGAATTTTCAATTCCATTCAATGCCTTTATACTAGAAATTACAAAACAGTTACTTTTCCTTCTATCAGCTATATGTATATTCCAGATCACTATATAGGTTAATGGAAAATATTTCTATGTTTTACACATTCATTTAAAAAATAATTCAAATGCTGCTTTTTTTAAAAAAAGATTTTATTTATTTATTTGACAGTCAGAGATCACAAGTAGGCAGAGAGACAGGCAGAGAGAGGGGGGGAAACAGGCTCCCCGCTGAGCAGAGAGCCCGACACGGGGCTCGATCCCAGGACCCTGGGATCATGACCTGAGCCTCAGGCAGAGGCTTTAACCCACTGAGCCACCCAGGCGCCCCATCAAATGTTGGTTTTTATAGTTACTTTTTTCTTATAGTTATTTCCTTCCTTTTCTTGTGCCTTAATGATTTATTTTAAGTTTCATATCTATCATTGATTTTGAGTCTATTTGAAAAGTTTTAAACCAGAATGTTATTTAGTGGCGATTATATACTTGTATACACATAAGTAACAAAAAAATCCTACCACATCGGATTACCAATGCATGACATTTTGTAATTATTTTGCAATGTGATTTCCTAGCCAATCTAACCTAACAATCATGTCAGAGGTCTTACTGTGTAGCGTGGAGAGAGCAGTATGATAAGAAAAATATGCCAATTCCCCTCAACAGTCCTTGGCACACAGTTGGCACAGGTTACTGTGTGATTCCATTTCACTTCCCATGTCTCATCAGAAACCACAAGATAGTGGCAGACCAAACAGATGCTTACAAATCCAAAGATGAGACAATAATGCACCTGAGAATCTACAGAGGTCAAGCAATAAAAGCTTTTGGTGAAAATGACTTCGTGTTTATTTTGGCATACTTCTAAAAATTAAGTTATAACAGGGACAATTGTATTAATATCAGATTAAGGCTATGAAAAATAAAAGAAAAAAGGACTTGCACATGCTGTACATATTTTATGTCAATCTTTAAAGCTATGAAAAATGAAAAACAATCAGAATTTTGTGGAATGTTATTACATATAATTGAAAGTTGCTAGTATCATAATTTCTTGGTATATGTTTTTCAAATGCCAAGGTCTACAGGACTGAATGGAAGTTCTGTTTGATTCACGTCCTGGTTTGCTTAATGGAAAAGGAAAGTTGGGAAGACTTCAGGAGAATTCCAAAAGATGCAGGTGCAGGAAACACGTGCAAAGGAATTTCGAATACTTTCTCTTTCAAATCAAACTCTGATTTAAACACTTTACTTTCTATCCAAGGGACAGTTTAGAATTAGTTGAATATTGAAGATACTAAAGACAGACTAACTCTAAAGTTTAGGGATACCATGCTAACAAAGGTCACTAAATAATAGTTTGACACATTTTCATTTTTATTAAAGTTAATCACAATTCCTACTTCGGGATATGCCACAACTAAACAAAAAAAAGTGTTATTATAGCTGCTTGAAGGGAGTACAGGTTGAATTAACACAAGTTTTAGGAACAGCATTTAAAATACTTTTCATAAGACAGGCATCTGACAGGATCAAGATGTATGGGAACTTCTTAGGCTATGGCACCAAAGGGAAAAACTCCCCAGAAATTTCTTCCATATAAAAATTCAAGATAAAAACAGATCAAGCAGAGTAAAGACAGAATGAACATTTGCATTTGGAGAATTAGTAACCTCATACATAGAACACACAGTGCTCGTTAAAACATTCAGCTGCAGAGATATGTTAAAATGTAATAAAGGAGGGGGCACCTGGATGGCTCAGTGGGTTAAAGCCTCTGCCTTCGGCTCAGGTCATGATCCCGGGTCCTGGGATCGAGCCCCGCATCGGGCTCTCTGCTCGGCAGGGAGCCTGCTTCCTCCTCTCTCTCTGCCTGCCTATGCCTACTTCTGATCTCTCTCTGTGTCAAATAAATAAATAAAATCTTTAAAAAAAAAAAAATGTAATAAAGGAAATAGCACCTTTTGAAAATCATGTTACCTAAAACGAAAGTTTGCAAAAACGATTCTGAACTGCAAATCTTCATATGAAGAAAATTGAGAAGGTGGTACCACAAAAACAGTTTGGAAAAGTGTAATGTTACATGATGATTGCAAGCACGAACAGTACAGAACATTGAAAGCCAAAATTCCACCTCCATATCTGCAATAGGCAAAACAAAACAAAACCATAAACAAACAAACAAAAAAAACCCTTTTCTTTTAAAGTTATACATCTAATATTCTCTCTAAACTGGGTCAGTAAAGCAGCATACCTTAATGTAAGGGGAAAAAATTTAAAGGCTTCCTTAGGAATTGAAAGCAGTATTAAAGTATCAGTCTATCTATCTACTATCTACTAAATACACGGTCTATCTACTGTCTGCTAAACACATGGACAAGAGGTTTATTATAAGACTTCTTACTTGAAATTCAATGCAATTCAGAATAAAATGAGTCTTTTATGTCATATGCCAAACTTTTCAATACCTCAGTCCCACAAGGGATTATCAAAACATGATTTTTACTAGATGATTCCAGGTATAGAGAAATCTTTCTCAGCCAGAGTTCTGACTATAACATTATAATCAGACCCAATGTTATTCTTTTTTCACAAGTGAGACAAAGTATACACTTATTCTTTCTAATCCCTTAAGATCCTTATAGTTGAAAAGGTTGTCCTTGAAGGTTAATGCAAATAAAAATAACTTTGCTTAGCAGTACATGTAATTTTAACAGCCTAAACATTTATCCAAAGATTTTCCAATTGTGATATCTACTTGAATATTCTTGTTATACACTTGCTTTATCTCTATCAAAAGTCCTATCAAAACAAATTATGTCCATGCTTCCCAAAATAACTATTAATCAACTGCCTTATAACTTGTAAGAAACAGATCTTGGATTCAGGAAATACCAATACATTATTAACATGTTATTATAATTCTGCATTTACTTTCATTTATAAATATCACATAAATACCACCAGCAAGTATCATAATGTTAAATCATTAAACTAATTTGTAAATATTGATTTATAAACCTTGGCGCATATGCTGCAAAAACAAAAAATTAGTGAAAAATTTTTTTAAAAGGTTTTCCCCCCCAGGTAATACACCCAATTATTTTCCTAAGGATCGTCACCTACCCAGGAGTTGGTAATAAATATTGCATAGTTCTTACAGAAAATGTGAAGACAAATATTGGCAAATACCACATCTCACGTTATAGTCGAAGAAATCATACAATCTGTAGTATTTCATAAAGTTGTTTATTCTTGTTATTAAAACTTGGACTCAAGTAATCCTGGTTATTCTGGAAAAAGCACCTTGTTCGGGGGCATGGTTTAGTCATCCTTTTCTACAATCACCTCTCCATGAAGCACCTTTCTTCTTTGGCGTAACATATGAAAATACAGTTGTGGAAACACTGATGGAAAAAAGAAAACAAAGGAGGATGCTGTTGACAATTATTTATACTAGAAACCTCCCCCACGTGGGCAGTCTGAGGGCAAGAACAGCATCTGTCCCCGCAGCCTCCTGTCCCCCCACGCTGCCAGAGCTCAGGCTGAGAGCGCATGCGCAGAGGCCGCACACAGTAGGTCGCACCCGGCACCCAGTATCCTGCACTCTGCAGGCCTCCCGGGTTTCCAGGCTCGCCTCTTTTGATGGCGATCTTTACAAATTTAAGGTTTGTGGTCACCCTGCCTAGAACAAGTTTCCTGACCCCGTTTTTCCAACAGCAGGTGCTCACTTCGTGTCTCTGTGTTACATTTTGGGTTACATTCTCAGGATATTGCAACCTTTTTCATTATTATTATTGTACTCGTCATGCTGAGTGGTACTGACTCGCTGAAAGCTCTGATGATGGCGAGCATTTATTAGCAATAAAGTGTTTTTTAATTAAGGTGTGCACAGTGATGCTATTACAAACTTAAGAGACTACAGTATAATGTAAACATAACTTGAATATGCACTGGAAAAAAAAACCATCGTTGGACTCACTTTATTGCAATGTTAGCTTTAGTAGTCGGAACTGAACCTGCAGTATCTCTGGGGTATGCCTGTAATGCTGGGGATTCTTTAGCAAAGTTAGAAGTTAAGTATCCTGATAAAGATATTTTCATAATGACCTGGGACGCTGTGCCAGAATGTTCTGGCGCAAGGAAAACTGCCTGGCCCCCTTCTCTCAGGTCCATCCGCTGTCCTGTACCATGAGGGCATCTCATGGACATATGTGGGTATCTAAGCCCACACAACCCAACTTCATCCATACCCCTCACAAACGTTCCTGTTCCCTGCTAGTGACTATCAAAAATTTGACCTAAAAACCAACCACTATTGGCATTTAAGTGAAGCGAGTAGAGCTTCACCAATTCAGGGCAACTACTGAAAGATGATGAGAAGTTAGTGAAGAGGCTGAGTAGTTCAAAATGTCTTAAGAAAAGCAGCTTCCTTATGTTCTAGCATATAGAGCAACATAAAGAAGACTAAATAACTTCTCCAAGTGTATGCTCAAGGATTAGACAGAAATGACCTGACATTTTCTGGGACTATATGTTTATATTCAGACAAATGTTTCTAAATGCTGGCCAACAATTCACTGATGTGTGCTCTATCTTTTCTTTAAAAAAAAAAAAAAAGGTAATTCAGCTTCTCTTTAAATGATTCTGAGAAAGCAATCATCTCTGTATTGATTTACTTACCTTTTTGAAGGGTTGAACAGAGGATTTGTAAGCCATCACATCTCCTTGCTGATTAAACTAGCGATCATACTTTACAAAAATACTCACTGCTTATGCTAAATCAAAGTACTAATGACCATATACTTACGTGGTATATACGAGGCCATGGTTATAAGAAGGAAATAGTAGTAGTCAAAAGAGACATTGTATTTATTCGGAAGTCTTATTGAAAACATTCCTGTCTTCTTCACGTACGGTAAGGCAGCATATATTGTAAGAAGTTCACCAACAACTCCAACGGGATATAAGATGATAAAAAAATTGTACCTGGAGAAAGATCCCAGAGAATTATTTTTCTAAAATAATGACTGGATTTGACATTATCGTTCTTTTGCTACTACTGTCTTTAAACTTAAAAATACACATATTTACGGTGCCCCTCACAGGTTAATTTTTTTCTATTTTAATCATTTGTTTGTTTTTGTTTTTAAAGGTTTTACTTATTTGACACAAAGATGGAGAGTACAAGTAGGCAGAGCAGTAGGCCAAGGGAGAAGAAGAAGCAGGCTCTCTGCTGAGCAGGGAGCCCAATGCAGGGCTTGATCCCAGAGCCCTGGAAATCATGACCTGAGCCAAAGGCAGCTGCTTAATGAACTGAACCACCCAGGCACCTTAATCATTTGTTTATCATTTTAATTATCCTCCTTTCTTCTCATAGCAGTTTCCATTTTAGATGGCAAAATCTTAATAAAATAAGAATTCAACTTACTTTACAGTACTGAAATAATGGTATATGTATATAGTTTTATATTGTAAAGGACATAAGTGTTGTAAATAATACATTATAAATCGGAGAAAGACAACTATCATATGATCTCCCTGATATGAGGGAGAGGAGATGCAACATGGGGGGTTAAGGGGGTAGGAGAAGAGTAAATGAAACAAGATGGGATTGGGAGGGAGACAAACCATAAGTGACTCTTAATCTCACAAAACAAACTGAGGGTTAATGGGGGGGGGGGGGTGGGGGGGGGTGGGATTATGGACATTGGGGAGGGTATGTGCTATGGTGAGTGCTGTGAAGTGGGTAAACCTGGCGATTCACAGACCTGTACCCCTGGGGATAAAAAGATATTATATGTTTATAAAAAATAAAATTTAAAAAAAATTAAAAAATTAAAAAAAAATATCAATCCACACGGAAAAAAAAAATAATAATACATTATAAAGCACCTATAAGTATTATAAGGCACTGTAAGGGTAACTTCTTTGACACCTGGAATCAAAACTAAATGTTGTTTTTTTGTTTTGTTTTGTTTTTGAATGTTGTTTTTTTTTTTTTTTTTTTTTTTCTCCCCCTTCAGCTAGTCATTTATTGATCAAGTGCTGTGCTTTAAAAGACCAGTTATGTCTGGGTGGCTCAGTTGGTTAAGCAACTGCCTTTGGCTCAGATCATGATCCCAGGCTCCTGGGATCCAACCCCGCATCAGGCTCGCTGCTCAGCAGGAAGCCTGTTTCTCCCTCTCCTTCTGCTGCTCTGCCTGCTTGTGCTCTCTCACTGTCTCTGTCAAATAAATAAATAAAATCTTAAAAAAAAAAAAAAACAGTTATGATCCTAATTTTATATCTAAATCTCGAAATTACCAAAGTGGTTTTTGGAAGCATTTGGAAATCCCTTTGTGGTTACTAATTAAAAGACAGTTAATTACTATTTCAGACTGACATAATACTACTAAATATATATTTATACATATTCATATATTTGGTATATCTAATATATAAATAATACTAAAGTATCAGGAACTACTAATGAATATATTATCTAAAACTGTTCCCTTAACAGAACAGGTAAGAGAAACTGTTTCCAAAATTCCCACATTAAAGGAACAGTTTGCTTAAGATAGCTAAGAAAGTTCTATTCAAAATCCAAAATCACAGTTTGTTCATTTGGGCTGTGGCAAGGTCTCTAATGCACAGTAGGCCAGCCATTACTCATGCCTATGTGAGGGCAAGGCTCTATGAGTCTCTGTGGGCCTCCAGCAAGAACAACTTCAAGGATCCAAGGTAACAACATTTCTCCACTGAAGAAAATCATTTTTCTCAAAGGCAGTTACCAAAATAAAGGTTAAATTGTTGGTAGAAAAAGACAGAAATCAATTAATCCGTATTTTATTTCATCATTTTGTTGGCATTAAGATATTTGTAAAGAAATGTTAAATTTATCAGTACGGCAGAAACTTGGAAACAACTTAAAAATCACCTTATTCCTGTATGTCAAGGATATACACGGGTAAGACATGGTGTGGGAACAGAATCATTTGCCAAAATAGATTCAGTGGCGAATGGAAAGACCAATGATCCTTTTACTGTACCTGTTTATCTCCTCCTTGCCGTGGGTAGATCATCTGCTTTCTTACTACCAGTAGTATAGTTATTCGTATATTATTTAAATCACTCTTTTCCAATCTTAATTTCCTAACTCAATTTAAAAATCATATAACTGAACATTTTATATCCCTTTTCAAGTAAAACATTCAAACTTATTTATGGAGTTTTTAAACTTTACGTGACTCTCCAGTGATTTTTCTGGAAGCATTGTTCTTAAACAGAAAAAAGCATATCACTCCTAGACTAAACTAGTTTGAAACCTTCAGCCACTGATTATATTTAATGCAATGATAGCAAATGATATAATTTACTGGCTTTGTACTTTAGAAAGACTGCATGTCACCCACTCTGTAAGTTTTGATGGCAGCATGAGAAATTTAACTACCTATTCAGAAAAAGAATTCGTTAAAGGTTCCTAATTGTTACCTAAAAATTTTTTGAAGGGGATGCATTTTTGAAATTAAAATGGAAATTAACATAAAACATAACAACATACAAGTGCCTGTTCAGTGGGCTTTTCTAGGAACACTTCTTACACATAAGTAGAATGGAAGTATATTCAAATCATCACAGTAGGCCAGCTATGTATAAATAAGAACCCATTCTTACTGTGAAGTTTTATTTGAGAATGACAACCTCAACATTTGAACATAAATACATATGTTATTTTAAGTTTTTTAATAAGGCTGACAAATATATATAGATGGTTGGAGTCTTTTAAGATTTTTGACATGAAATATTACTCGTGATTATGATTAACTGACATGTGTTATGCTAACAGGTGCATTTCAAAGTTGAAAGGTCTTAGAGTACTTGGTTTAACATTAGTTCAATTGACAAAGGATTTCTAAACAGCAAATTTAAGCATGTTTTCAACTTCTCCAGAAAGTCAATACATGCATGGTGCATTCCGAAAGGCAGACAGACGAAACATTAAAGACTATTATCTTTCTCAAATAAGTTCTACAAGTGCAGCAAGTGAAGAGACTGTTGCAGGAGTTAGTATTTTCAAAGGTGCTGGAGGTCCAGAAGACTGAGGTCATCATGCAAGATTCAAGGTGCACTGAGATTCATTCTAGGATTAGTCCAGCAACACAGCAAACTGCCAACCGTGTGAAAGGCCCAATTACTCAAAGTGAAAAAATGCTCGGTTACGATAAGAATAAAACCAACCTAACATAGAAATGGGAGCGCAGCCTCCTTATGAGAGCCAATAGGTTTAAGCTCAAATTATAATTCTGAAGCAGTTCAATAAACAAAATGATAAGCCACAAATGTCTAAAAAGGAGCAAAAGCATATAAAAAAAAGTCCGAGTATAAATATAATTAACAGTGATTATCTTCAAGGAGGAGGATTATAAGCAGTTCAAAAGGTCTTTTTCCCCTTCATTTTGGATCTTTTAATATATTCTATAGTCCATTATATTTCAACAAGTATAATATATGAGTTATGAAAAAGGATTGTAGATACTAATTATCAAAATAATTTAATTATTTTATCATTAATTATATTTTTATCAATAATTATATTGATAATTGATATATATTGATATATATTGATATTGATATATTGATATATATTGATATTGATAATTATATTTATTGTTTAATTATCAAAATAATTTAAATCATGCAAAAAAATGCCCTATTTTTGGCACAGAGTTTAAGTTTAACTAATATAATTCAAAAAAAATGTACGTTTTGCTTTCAAAGAAAAATGAGTGACCAAATTCAGGTTATGTGAGGATATTGACACAACTTGTCTGGCACTAATTCTACTCAAAATATATATTAATATGATTTTTCTCTGATCATTAAATTAAGCCTTTAGAATTGGTTACAATACTGCTAGTAGCCAAGAAAACAGCATCCTGGCATCATGGGCTAAGACACAAATCTTCCTTCCCTAGTGTTAGCTCAGCACACAAAACACACATGCACTAGTGAGAACTAAACTGCAAGACAACGCCACCTGGCCCATTTAATGAAGTATGGCAAGTGGTCGAGAAGACTGAACGTGTAGAAGGAATAGCGAGTGATCTCTGTCACAGTCCACGCGACCAGAAAAAGCACCACGCTCTCCTCATTCTGGATCTGCAGAATCACAGAGAAATCCACAGTGTGGTTTAACCTTGAACATTTTTCTCCATGAAGATATACTCATTTTTTACTGTGGTCTTTGAATGTCAGGGGTAGACAGAGGCAAGACAGAAAAAGAGTCACCACTACATAATTCATGAAAACACACAAATATGTCCTAGGCACAGGAATGGTCAAATTTCTACTGCTTTCTCTTTCTTAGCCTTCGCTCTGGCTGCTAACTCAACCATCCTGTGACAACATCACCCCCTCAAAACCAGCATGGGAACCATTAGACAGTCCGACTTTCTACAGTCGTCTGATGGTACCCAGCCTACTGCAGTACTAGCTACTGCATCTGTCCACTCCTCTTTTGTCCTATGACCACCATTTGCATTCGGAGCCTCACCATCTTCTCCATCCAGACTACTCCAACAGCTTCCTAAATAGCCTCTCCACTCTTACTCTCCTCATGGATGGAAGTCTTCTCTTCAACGCAAAACCAAAACACATTTGGAAGCAGTGATCCTGAGATTTAAAAGCTTCTTTGGCTCCCCATTCCTTAACAGGACAAGAGGATCACAGTCAAGGTTCTCTACAATCTGAGCTCTGGAATCTCCCAACTTCATCTGTAATCTCTCAGCCTCCCACTACCAGCTCTCCCTGGTGACACCAACTACTATTATTTCCCTAACATGCTCTGAACGTTTATGTCTTAACACATGCCATTCCCTCCAATTATAATGCTACTTACTCCCTTTTTAGTTCCCATGGAAAATCCTTTCTCACCCTTTAAGACCCAGCTAAAGCATTACGCCCTCTAGACAACTTTCCCCAAACTCCTCCTTTCGTCCTGAGCTGTAATTTGCTCACTTTCCTTGATCATATCTGTACTATAACACCTGCCCGTTTGTATGAAAGTCTATCTGCCTGACTCTTGGGTATCTATCAGTGCTCTCCTTACACACTCCTTCTCTCCCTCAGTCAGGCTAAGTCCCCAGGTACATTGTAATATGTATTCGTCTCTTATTTCAAAGCACTAACACTAACATAATGAAACAATTACAGTTGACCGTGAACAATGTGGGGGTTGGGGCACCAATCCCTGCTGCATAGCCAAAAAGCCTGCATTTAAGTTTTAAGTTTTGACTCCCCAAAACTTAACAACTAATAGTCTACTGTTGACCAGAAGCCTTATCGATAACCTATAAACAGCTGAATAACACATATCTTGTGTGTTCTATGTATTATATATGGCATTCTTATAATAAAGCAAGCTAGAGAAAAGAAAATGTCATTTACAAAACATTTTGTAAGAGAAAGAGAAAATCGTAAGAGATTTTCGTAAAATCTCTTTTTTTACATAAGAGAAAATACACTTATAGTATTCTAATTATCAGAAAAAAATTATAAAAAGAAAAAATTCTGAGTATGAATGAATACATGCAGTTCAAACACAGGTTGTTCAAAGTCAACTGTACTTATGTAACTACTTGTTTACTGCTGCTCCCACTTACAGGATCCACAGGGAAGCGACCATATTCGTATCATTAACTGCCAGATCCCTAGCACAGCCTCAGGCTAGAACAGTTGTGCGATCAGTATTTGCTGAAGGAGTCAACGTCTGTATGACCAGCGCCCACTTCCCAACAACCAGTACGCAAAGAGGTGAAATGGCCCTATCCACTCTTGTAAAGCCAGACACAAGCACAGTGTCAAGTGTACAGAAGGCACTCCATAAATGTTGGCTGAGTTAGTTAAAGAGGGGTAGAAAGGTACCAGTGGGAAACTATTGTTGGAAAAAACTAAATAGAAATAGTAATACTAATACAGAGATCCTTTCGAGGATTAAAAAAAGAGCAGATGGGTCTTTTTTCTCTTGGGGGCTAGCAACCCATTAGATCCTCTCTCACTTCTTGCCACAGTGGATGCCGGCCACCCTGTCTTGTCTTTCTTCTTCCTCAGTCTTCAGACTTTTTGCAGTCCCGGCCCAGCTCTTATATTTGCTCACTGTCTGGAACAGACTTTCTTTTATTCTGTTTATGGGGACTTCCTGCTTTTAAACTACGTGGCAATCTGAACACAAAGTCTGGCTGTCCGCGTGGCACGCACTCACAGCTCGGGGCACAGCGGTCAGCCGTGAGGGGCCAGGTGCACTGAGAGAGTTGAGTGAAAGACAGTGGTCCGGAGAGGCTACCGTGCAGAGTGGTGGGAGAGCGGAAGAGCAGTGATCTGTCCCTGCGTGGACAGAGGCCAGTATGTCTCACAGACAAGGGAAGGGAGTTAAGGTATCATTTCAAGCAGACGAGGGACAAGAAAGGCATCTCAGGAATGGAAAGGAGGCCAGAGATCTGTCCTCAAGTAGATAGGAGATGCCGGAGGCTATCAGAAGGTCAGAAGGGCCCATCTGGGAAATGTTTCTGTCACGGGTTTAAAAGGCCCAGTGTCTTGACATAGTGAGCATGGTGTTTGTTTGTCTAGAAGGGTTTAAGCCATTAATTAGATTCAGGTCTGTCTCCTGTCATGCCTCAATAAATAATATGCTAATTTCCCTACATTCCCCAGCCCTTCCAACTTTTCATTTAATCTTTCCATTTGCTCAGATCTACAGAACTGTATTTGCTTTTTATGCCTGTTGCTACAACACTCCATGGTTAATGAGGAAAAATACACTGTTTATTGTGGCAACTTCAATACATAATCAAAGAGAATACACATCAATAGAAAATTTTCAGTTAACTATTTGACAGAATATGAGTATTCACTTTAAAAACCGGGAAACATCAGAGGAGAATAGATTATGGATATAAATATTTAGTTTGCTTGTGTTTCAAGGTCATTCTACTAACGCACTAAGTCAATGTACAATCACACTTAGATCCAAACCCAGCCCTTTTTTTGTCTAGTGGTTCTGCTCCCTGCAATATAGCGATGTTAGTATCTTAGATTCCTATTAATAAAAAAAACTTTCCTGCAGGCTTGTGAAGAGAACATGTTAGTGTCACTTACTGGTTTTATACTGTGAGTAATGAGCCACACCATGAAGATTCTTGAACTCACTTGGACCCCAGCCACAATCACAGAAGTAGGTACAATTCCTTAAAGAGAAAAATAAGTCAACCATTGCCCTAAAGGCAATTCACACCGACAATAAAAATTAAATCAGAAACTTACCAATTAAACAGTGGACTATCTGTAAGCAAATAAAGAAAAAATCACAAGTCAATAACATGCAACATAAAATAAACCCCTGTGAACACCGGTTTTCTACAAATCTATAGGTGGATGTCATTGGCAAAATAAGACTGATTTTGTTCAGCAAATTTTTCCAAATAAATATTACAAAAATAGGAAAATAGCATCACTGAAAACTTACCTCAAGCAAGGCAAATGTCTGGAAAAATTTAAGTATCTTCTGAATACTTTTATATAAACCTTTGTGTGTTCCTTTTTCCATATAGAAACGTACCATGGCAATAGCTAAAACCAACCACCTAAAAGAAAGAAAGGTATTTTATAAAGTTCTATGAAAATGAATACCAATGATCTTCCTAAAAAGAAATGGCATAATTTATATAATCATATGTTGTTTTATTATGTTCTCGGTTCATTATTCTATTTAACAAAACCCACAGGAAGAAATGGCATTGTTTTTACATTGACTCTTCAAGGGGATAAAGAGAACATATTGGAGATCAACTAGATTCAAATGTCAAACGATGTCCATTCCATGTTTGGTTTCAGCAGACTGACTGAAGAAATGATGTACCCCAAATGAGGTTATTAGAAAGTATTTCATAATTATACAAATATTTCTTAAGGTAAAAAGCTGTGAGTGTGTAAGTATGTACTTAGACAAATATATGGTATATATTTACATGTGAGTGTAAGTAAAAATATTTCATAATAATTCTTTTCTTTAGAATTTGCACTAAACAATAATAACCATTGTGCCACAGAAGGGCATACATATAGAAGGTCAGATATGGGCCTGCTTTCAAAGAGTTTGCTTTACAAAAAGGACAAAATGCATATGCCTTTCCTTTTCAACTTCTACTTCTACACAACAGAGAGGTTCTGTGCTGTGAAGACCAGCATTTCACACGCAAGCTATGTCTGTGGAGACCGGCTTTCTCATCCTACACTCAATCTGCCAGAGACACTAATGAGAGTTCATTTTTTTTCTAGTTTCCTTCACAATTACAAGAGCACTTTCAAGTTTCAAAAAGTTATGCCATCTGTAACTTCTTAAAATCCTTAGTAACACACCCATGGAAACGAGTAGCTACTCGAGGCTTTTTTAATTCAGTGGGCTTCAAAACATCTAGTTACATGGATTTATGAATGATAACACCATTAAACAGTTTTAACTTTTTAATTAAAGAACCCTCATAAAATGGACAGTTTAGAGTTTTCCCACAAATGAACTACAGATGAAATATGATGAACATGGTCAACAAGGTCAAGAGAAGACGGAGGCTAGAGCTTCTCTTCTGGGCACTTCCACTCCTCCTCAGCACACACTGAGGGGAAAAGCAAGGACGTTCCTATGAGGGGTGGTAAGAAGTCAGGTAAAATCTGAAATTGTCAGCAAGACCTTCCAAAAATGGAAATGTTAATGATACCAACAACAGTGATAATAATGCGTGTACTTTCAGAACGCTTTCAATGTTCCAAATGCACATTTAGCATATTAATATTTCATGCTCACAAATTCCCTCTGAGGTAGGGATGGCTATTATCCTATTTCACTGCTGAGAAAACAGGCAGAAGAGGTCACAGAGCCAGACAGCTGAGATGTAAACCCACCAATGAGCTCAGAGTCTATGTTCTTGAACCACGATGCTGTACTGGTTTGGCTCTAGGCATGTAGGTGTGCCTTGGGATATTAGTTAATCACACTATTCGCTATATTTGAATCACAAGTAAATCTTCAAAGTTATCAAGAGAATTGTGCTCAAATATTTTAACCAATAGTAGTGTGCTATCAAAAAGGTCTGAGGGCCACTGTTGTAGATGAGAAAGTCACCGTGCAGAGACATCAAGATTTATCCTAAGTCTTAAAGTCAACAGTCCAGGTAGAAATAAACTCTGTGACATCTCCCAACCCCCCATGCTATTCTTGCTCCACAATACCCTGGCTTTACTGGATTCAACTGACAGCTTCATCTCATATGTGGGCCAAACAATGGCTTCATCCCATATACGGGCCAACACTGAATTCTGTAGTGGGCTAATCTGGGTGACATTTTAGATGTCTTCCTTAAAATGTTACGATTTTACTGTCTTCAATTTTAGGTCTCCATACTAACGATAAAAAAAAAAAAGCATATTAAGATAATTAAATCAACATTTTCATACACTTGTCTTTTTTAAGAAAAATCCAAACCAGACTTTTAAAAAAGATCACTGTGAGAGCTAATTATTACCCTACCAAAGAATTCATCAAAGGATTCATTTTGATGGCAACTTTTCTATATTTTTAAATAGCAAGATATAAAAATCCACGTATTAGAACGTGGTAACAAATTTTACTGTTGTCCCATAGGTGGCAGTGTTGTACCACCTAGCATAGTGAAAGATCCTACCAATTACTAACTTGTTCAAAAATAAAAGAAATTAACACTCCCGGTAGTGTTAGAAAGGACCGCAGAGCCATCTATCTTAACTTCTCATCTGTTTTTCAGTCACTGTGGCCAGGAGCTAATCTGAACTAATGAGTGTTCACTGCCTAAGTCCACCATCGCAACGGGATGACAAAGTCTTTCCATAGGGGCCCTACATTTAACTAACTTTGCACTTTCTACATTCATTGGTTTAGTAATTATCCTTTTTTTAAAAATGCAAAAGCAAGTAGAGCTTCTGCAACTGTTTTTAAAAAATAGGCCAGAGCAACTGATTACCCAAATATGAACCCAGAGAGATATGCTCAGTCCTTGAGAAAGTACTCTCTTTGGAAAATATATAAACATGTGCTTTATATGTCAGAGATTGTTTACTTGTTAGCTTAATTCATTTCTTTATTCATTCATCTCCATGTTCAACATTTATTGCTAAGCCAGGGAGTGTTGGGAAATTAGAAATAAATAAGACTTAGTTCTTGTCTCAAGGAACTATTAAATTAGTGAGTAGAGAAAACAATGCAGTGCTGTACCAGGAGGTATGAGCCATAACTCACTAAACACAGGGTCTGCTTGCCATGGCATTATGCCATGATGACTCTGAAAAATCTTATGGAAGGAGGAGTTCTTTCCTCTGGCTGTTTTGGGGGCTTCTTTTCCCCCTGAGGTTTCTTGGAGACAACCAGCTCCATAAAGAACTTGGTTATCTACATTTGTATCTTCTGGTTTTGTTCCAATACTTCTTTTTAGATATGAATTATGAACAACTTCGTACAGACACAATGATACAGAGAATGGCATAAGGAACCTCCAGAGCACACTGCCCAGCTTCAAGCATTATCATCTTATGGACAATCCTATAGCTTCCAAAGTCAGTGCTTTCCTCACCATCCCCTCCCCTCATTATCTTGAAGGAAATCTCATACATTCTATAGTTTGATTCCTAATAAGAGGATTGCTTTTAATAGACCTTATCATAATACCACCATCCCAGGTAAAAAATAGTAGATCACAAAACATAGTCAGGATAAAAATTTTCTCAATTGTCTCATAATTTTTAGAAATCATGATTGAAATAAAGTTTTTATGTTGTAACTAGTTGCTATGTCTTTCATAACTCTTAATCTATAGGTTTCCCCTCCCTCCCTCTATCCATTCATCTCTCTTTCCCTCTCTTTTTTGTGAAATTTCTCTGTTGATGACACTGAGTGGTTTGTCCTGCAAAGTTACCCACATGTCACTTATTATATTCTTCTGTCCCCCATATTTCCTGGGAAGTTGACAGTTCCACACCCTTGATCAGGTAGATTCACATTTGAAGCTAATTCCTAAGTTATGTTGTGTGCTTCCCTGAAGAGCACGTAATTTCTAATCGTCCCTTTTGTTTGCAATGTTAGCTTACTGCTGATCATTGCCCAGAGCCATTATTTCAGCAGTTACTGAATAATGGTGATATTCTAAGGTTACCATTTCTTCTTGACATGTCCGATAAAGTAACCATGTGGAGGCTCGCCCAGAGATGGCCTCTCACATTCATACCATCCATACCTTCATACACTGTTCATTGACACCCCCAAACTTCCTTTCCTAGACTAAACTGAAACTTTGTTAGCAGCCAATATGTGTTTCAATGTACTGCACATAGACACTTGTGCCAGTGGAGTTAAGCTGAAAGGTTCATGAAAGAAAAAAACAGATAAATTGGACTTCATGAAGAGTAAGACCTTCTCTTTGAGAGACACTGTGATGAAACTAAAACCAAGCCACAACTAGGAGAAAATATTTACAAATCACACATCTGGTAGAGACCTATATGCATACTATATTTAAAAAAAAACTCTCAGAACTCAGTAAAAGAAAAATCAAACAACCTCATTTAAAAAAAAAAAAAAGGTGAACGATTTGAACAGATTCTATACCAAAAAAGATACACAATTGGTAAATAAATGCATGGAAAGATGTTCAGTGTCGTTAGTCACTGGAGAGATGCAAAATAAAATCACAATGAGATAACATAACACACCTATTAGAACATCTAAAACTACAAGCACTGACCATACCAAGTGTTGGTGACAATGTACAGCTGCTCTCATTCATTGCCCACAGGGATAAAATGGTACAATCATTCTGGAAAAGTATGGATAGTTTCTTAAGAAATCAAGAATGCAGGGCACCTGGATGGATAAGTGGGTTGAGCCTCTGACTTCAGCTCAGGTCATGATCTCAGGGTCCTGGGATCGAGTTCCGCATCGGGCTCTCTGCTTGGCAGGGAGCCTGCTTCCTCCTCTCTCTCTCTCTCTCTCTCTCTCTCTCTGCCTGCCTATCTACCTACTTGTGATCTCTCTCTGTCAAATAAATAAATAAAATCTTTAAAAAAAAAAAAAGAAATCAAGAATGCAATTACCGTATGACCCAGCCATTCCACTCACAGACATTCACCTCGGAAAAATGAAGTCCAAGTCCAAAGACTTGTACCTGAATACTCATAGCTTTGTCATAGCTCCAAACTGGAAGAACCAAAATGTCCCCCAACAGATGAACGGATAAGCAAGTTGGATAAACAAGATCCATACACGGGATCTATCCTCCTCAGGGAAAAATATACGTCTGTTCCTTCACAGGCTGGGAAATGGATATGCCAGCCCCTTGGGTTTGGTGTTCTAATAACTCACACAATGTATACTCTGAAAATATCTTCAATAGCTTATCTCTTGGTGTCAGTCACCTTGCTGATCACTTCATATCCATGATCTTTTTATTCTTTGTAATAATCTAGCAAAGCAGCTGTGTTGTTCCAATTTACAGACAAGAAAACTCGGGGTCAGAGTGTTTCAGTAACTTATCTGAGGCTACTCAGCAAAAAAGGGGTGAAGCATAGACTTTAACAAGGCCTTACTGTACTCTATACAGATTAAAATGCAAACATGTTAGCAAGGCACTTAAGGCCCTGTGCAGAGTGGTCCATGCTCCTCCTCCAGCGTCATCTCCCCACTACACTTCAGGCCCACTTGCTACTGCCTCGACAACATGTCTAGGAATGCCTTATCTCTGTACCCTAACTCACACTGTTTTCTCATCCCTGCCTATCAAATCCTACTCATCCTTCAAAGCTCTGTTGAAATGCTATGATCACCACGGAGCTTTCTCTGATTCCCCCTACCTGTCTGACCCATCACCTCTGTCAAGCACGCACTCACTCTGTCTTTTATTGCAATATATAAATGTCCCTGGTTACACTTCTTCAAGGATGGAGCCTAGAATATTTATCTTATAAGACATAAGACCATGCATTTGACACCTACGGGTTCAAAAGTCCTGAAAAGAAACGACAGCAACAACACCACCACGAGAGAGAGAGAGAGACATGGAGGGAGAACTACTTCTCTGGTCACATACCTATTATGAACAAGTACCACAAAAATCTTCACATCTTTTAAAGGTGTAATCCTACTCCTGGGAATTCATCTTAAGTAACTATTCAACAGAAACAAATAAAAGCAAAATGTTATTAGGGGAATGAGTTAATCCATAATTGTACATTAAGTCTATACACTCTTATGTAGCCATGAAAGAATATATTTATGAAAACTATACAGAAATATTTGGTAGATTATTAGGTGAAAATAGAATATATAATAGAGCAGATACCCTAGCTGCAATCCTCTATAAGATGCATTTAGGATCTTACACTCGAATGAGGGACATGACAGACAATAAGCAACAATATGAATTAGTAAAATACATTGTACAGTTATAAGGCAATAAGTGCAATGACAAAAATAAAGCAGGCCAGAGGAATAATAGCATAATGGGGATATATGCTATCTGAATGAAGATATTCACATAAAAGATAAAAAACAAAATGTCATGCTAAGCTTATAAAATTAGGCAAGTTCTTTTTTTATATCTATGTAAATACTTATCTATTATTTTATTGTTTTCAAAACTATTACAAAAGCTTAATATAATTCAAAGTTCTGCTAAAAGAGAAAAACAATAAGTTAAATGGACAAAAAGAACCTCAGCTAACCCTCCGCTATCCATACTAATTAATGCATACCTTGGTTCACCTACCACTTTCCACACTACAACCTTACTGACATCTGTTCTCCAACACCACCCTCCAATTAGATCAAGAGAATATACCGGTTTTTCTTGCATCTCATGCCTATTGTTAGAATTTACTCGAAATATTCACTCGAATTCACTCGAAATATCTACTGTCCACATATTTCAATCCTATTCCTTCTTCAAATCTTTTTTTAAAGATTTTATTTATTTATTTATTTATTTGTCAGAAAGAGAAAGAGAGAAAGCACACAAGCAGGCAGAGGCGGAGAGAGAGGCAGGCTCCCTGTGGAGCAAGGAGCTCAATGCGGGACTAGATCCCAGGACCCTGGGATCATGACCTGAGCCAAAGGCAGCGGCTTAACCCACTGAGCCACCCAGGTGTCCCATCTTTTTCAAATCTTAAAGCCTCTAAAGGCCTCCAAAGAGTTACATGGATTACTCCATTTTGGTCACCTCTGCTTTTAAACAGGTGAAAATGACAAGAGACCTTCCCAATATAGGCAGGGAGTTTCAGATACCCGGTAATTTGCTGGGCAGGTAGGAAAGATAGGAATGAAGTGTGAGAATACAAAGTGTGAGAACACAAATTCTGCTCCAGATGGGGCAGAAGAACTAGAAAGCTTCAAAGAAGATGGCTTGATTTAGAAGTCATATGAGGAACAAGAAGGATATTACACAAAGAGTGAAAGGCCTGAGCAAGAACGGAGAGAGCCGTGAAAATAAAAATGCATGGTGCCTTGCCTGCATTATGAGTTACAGTTGATTTCAAACACAATAGATGTGTAAGGAGAATCAGGGAGTTTATTACAAAGGCCCTTGAATGACCAACAGCCTAAATCCCTTAGATTACAGTGGAGGTAATAGGGAGTCACCGAAGGCTTTAAACTAGAGTTATGCATTGATTTTCACTTTTAAAAGGTTAACCTGGTTTTCAAAAGGGAGAGTGGAGTGGAAAGCAAAGGGACAGCAAACCAGTTAACAAACAGCAGGTATTCCAAAAATGTTCCAAAAACTGGGTAAGACTATCACAGGAGAGAAAATTCTTTCAGTTTTCACTGTGGCTAAAGACAGCAGCCCATGGTGGGTACTTGATTGTTCTCCAGTTGTTCCAAATATATTACTTTTCTTCTTCGAGATTATAAAATTCAGTAAAGCGTAAAAAGCAGCAGCACGTCTCTGGAGTCAGACTGTCTAGGCTGAAATCCAAGGCTGACACCTGCTGGTTGAATGATCTTGAGCAAATTACTTAACCTCTTTGTGCCTCAGTTTCCTAATCCCTCAAATGTGACATCATGTACCCCTCCCAGGAGGGAAAAGAACCAAAAATGAAATAGTACATCTAAAGTAATCAACACATTACCTGACACATAGCAAATCCTCAATAAATGTATTTTTTGCGAACTGTATTTGGTATTCAGGATTACACTAAACACACAATAAGTACTCAGTACTGGGTCAAACCATTTATTCTTTTCTATAAGTCCTGGAGTAAGTTTAAGATATTAAAAGATCCCCTACATTTATATAGATTAATAATACCTCATGTGATAATGAGAAAGTAGCTTTTCAAAATGACAATGCAATTTAGAAACAGAAGAGCAATTTCCCAACTGGTCTTGAAAAGCCGTCGACACACAATTCATTTTGACAGCTCTCTGAAGAGCGATAGTCACTGTGTAACCTTATTTTCTAAGTCATACTCAAAGTCAGAAATAAAAGTACGGGATATCAGTCACGAAGCATGGGGCCGTAAAGATGCTGGACACGAGTGCCATGCTCTGATACAGCAGGGTTTGTAAAATACCGTCCCAAGTAAGAAGCTCTGGGGCTCAAGAAAAAAAAAATCAAAAGCCAAAACTCGTGGTGACATTAACAGTTCCGAAAACTCTGCCCGGCGATCTGCAGCACGAGGAAGTGCACCGTGGGGGCCACGGCCGGACAGCTCCGGCTCCGGGGCCGCGGCACTAGGCGTTTCTTCAACAGCAGCGGCAGGCAGCGGCGCCCGGGGCGGCCCGGCCGAAGCCACCTCCCCCGCGGGTCGGCCCCGCATTCCTGCCCAGGTCTATACTTAACCTCCGGCCCGCGCCCCGAGCCGCCGCGCCACGCCGTGCACCGTATTAGGCAATGCCCGGCGAGCAGGGCCCCGGCACCCCCCCGCTCCCCGCCCGCGCCGCTCGCCCCGCTCGTCGGCCCCGCTCCACTCCGCTCCATTTAACACCCGCGGCCGCGGCGGCGCCCGCGCCCCTCCCCCACGGCCGTAGCCCGCGCCCCCTCCCCGCGCCGCGCCCACCCCGCCGCCCCGCGCTCACCCCGCCGCCCCGCGCTGCCCGCACCCGGAGCGCCTTACCCGCTCGCCGCCCTCCCCGCAGCCCCGAGCGCCCCCAGCCCCGCCGGCGCCCCGAGCGCTGAATGTCGGGGGGCAGCACCGCGGGGAGGGGGGCGGAGGGAGGAGAGGGCCCCTCTCCGCGCACGTACCCCGCGGTCATGGCGATGTTGTAGAAGGTGAGCCAGACAGTGGCCAACAAGCCGAGGCGCCTCCTCTTGCCAGTGGCCTCCTTCTCCTCGCCCGGCTCCGAGGCGCCGCCGTTGGTGCCGTCCTCCTCGCTGGACGCCATGGTGGCCGTGCACCCCGGGGAGGTGGAAGACAGGGGAAGGGGAGTGGGAGGGGGCCCCGCCGAGCGCGCCGCTGAAGCGCCGCCGCCCGCTGCCGCCGCCTCTGTCAGGCGCCCCATGTGCCGCGCGCAGGGGGCTCGGCGCCGCCAGCGCTGCAGCCCGCAGGGGGAGGAGCGGGCGCCCCCGGCCGCCGCCCCGGCCGCCCCGCCCCCGGCCCTCGGGAGCGCGCGCGGCGCGGGGACTCGGCTGCCCGGCCTGGGAGCCGGCCCGGGTGCAGTCTCGAGGCGGTTGCGTGGTTTCCGCTCCCACGGAAAGCTGTCCGCGTCTCTAGCTGGGTCCCTAGCTGGGGGGACCTCTAGCTGGGACGTCTCGGGCGCTGGCGACCTGCCCCAGGCTGGTGCATTTAGTCGGGACGGACGAAACACACCTGGACTTGGAGTGGTCCCGCCCCGCCCAGCCGTTGGGAAGGTAATTTGTGTAAGTGAGGACCGGTAGTGGGATCTTCCCGCTAAGAACGCGTTAAGACCTTTGGGGAAGAGTCGCCCGCTTCAGTCTGTTTCACTTTTACCGGCCAGCGGGGCGTTACAGGACGACTACGGTAGAACAGCCTCACTTGCGTGGATTCCCCCGGAGCCAGTGTTCTAAAGGCATCACTGACTGCAGTGCAGCGTAGTGTCTGGATGCTAGAGGGAAGCTGGAGAAAAGAGGACAAGACAAGATACCGAAGGACAAAAGTTTGAGCAGATATAGGCAAGCTACAAATAAGGGCTGACAAGAACCCTTTCCTCCGCAGGATCCCACTGTTCTCCACTCTACCCCTTTCCTTTTGTATCTTCCTTCAAATACCCATGCTTTCTCTTAACAGCTCTCTCCTCTTTCCCCTTAAAGCACACAGCTGGGAAGACAGGATCGGGAGTCAGATTACTGAAATTCAAACCCCAAACTCCTGGATCCGCCACAGTTAAGACTAGCTTGTGAACTTGGGCACCTAAACTTATCTATTGCCTCAGTTTCCTCATTGGAAATAATTTATAAACCTATGTCATTGGTTGTCGTGAGATGCAAGTCTCACACTTAAAAATCACCCATATAATCACCCACACTTAAATCACCCAAATAAATGCCTTAAGGGTCTGAAGCAGTTTGAGTACCCCCAAATTAGCGTATTAGCACCATTCTGGTGACTCAGATCTCTGCCGATCCTTAGAAAAGAAATTCTTTTTTTTTTTTTTATTCTATTTATTTGACAGAGAGAGATCACAAGTAGTCAGAGAGGCAGGCAGAGAGAGAGGGAGAAGCAGGCTCCCTGTTGAGCAGAGAGCCCGATGCGGGGCTCGATCCCAGGACCCTGGGATCACGACCTGAGCCGAAGGCAGAGGAGCCACCCAGGTGCCCCTCTTAGAAAAGAAATTCTGCTTCGGCCTGTGGAAGCTATGTGTTTGTTAGGCTGTGCTCCTGGAAACTAAGCCTGGCCCTGTGCAGGGGGCGACCACCAAAATACCACACAGTCGGAGTCCAGTAGCTCCAGAGGGTATGGAGTCACGTGGGAGAGGTCACCAACCAGAAGAAAGGACTCATCCCTCCATTGTGATCTGGGCTCTGGGCTCCTGATCCAGGAGGCACTACTGGCCTGCTTGGGAAACAGATAATTTTGAGAAAGACATCCCAATTGGGGGCGGGGGGAGGGTAGGCTAAGATGTGCCTGGGGAAGAAATAATGGCTGAAAATGTTTAAATTTGATGAAAACTATGAACGACTATTTTTAAAGACATTTAATTTGGAATGGAAGAAATAAAACTATTTGCAAATGACAACACTATAATAATTAGAGAAGCCCAAGGACTCCGTTAAAAAGCTACTGGAACACAAATTGTTTTCTACAGAAAAGAAAACTGGAGAGTGAAATTTAAAATAAAACCATAGAATGCTCATCAGCATCCAAAAACATGAAATATATAAGGATAAATTTAACAAAAAGTGTAAGACCTGTACACTGAAAACCATAAATTACCATCAAGAGAAATCAGACTTAAATTAATGGCTATCCATTGGAAGCCATTGGAATTGGAAGATGAATTGGAAGATGATATGGTTAAAATGTCAGTTCTCCCCAAATGCCAGCAGAATATATATTGTTTTAATTTGACAGGTATCTCTAAAATTTATACAGAAATGTTTAAGAAGAACAAAGTCGAGACACATACTTGTTTTCAAGACTGTGTAAAAAACTACAGTGTACAAGACAGTGTGGTAAGCATAAGGATAGACAAATCAATAAGAGAGAATAGAGTCCAGGACCATATATATATATATATATATGGTCAGTTGATTTTCAACAAAGATGACTTGGTATGTCTTTTCAATAAATAGAGCTGAAATAACTGGATATCCACATGAAAAAAAAAATAAACCTTGACCCTTACCTCACACCATACACCAAGTATTAATTTGATATGGATCACAGACCTAAATATAAAACTAAAAGTATAAAACTTTTATTAAAAAAGTATAAAATAGAAAACAGAATCACTGTGACCTTGGGGAAGGCCAGGTTTCTTAGAACCAATAATAAAAAAGCATTGATTATAAAGGAAAAGACAGAACATCATTGAAACATAAAACTTCTGTAATTCCAAAGACAACATTTAAAAGGTGATTTTCTCAATACATGGATCTGACAAGGAACACGTATACAGAAGATATAAAGATTCTTTACAACTCAATAATACAACAACCTGATTTTTTTTTAAAAGATTTTTTTTATTTATTTGTCAGAGAGAGAGAGAGAGCAAGCACAGGCAGACAGAGTGGCAGGCAGAGGCAGAGGGAGAAGCAGGCTCCCTGTCGAGCAAGGAGCCCGATGCGGGACTCGATCCCAGGACGCTGGGATCATGACCTGAGCCGAAGGCAGCTGCTTAACCAACTGAGCCACCCAGGCGTCCCACAACCTGATTTTTTTTAAATGAGCAAAAGATTTTAATAGACTCTTTGCAAAGAAGATAGAGAAATAACAATAGCATATGCAAAGATAGCCAATCTTATTAGTCTTTAGGGAAAATGCAAATCAAACCTGCTGTGAGATAGCACTACATCTAATATTTTAAATGTTAGCAAGGATGTGTAGTAATTGGCATTCTCCTATATGGCTAAAGAGAATAACACTTTGGAAAACAGTTTGGTAATTTCCTTAAAAGGTCAACATTCCCTTGTTTACCATATGACCCAACAAATTCATTACTAGTTATTTCACCAAGAGAACAAAAAGAGGTCCACACAGATTTGGACATAAACTTTCAGGGCAGCTTTATTCATAGTAACCTCTAACTGAAAATAATCCATGCATCCATCAATATGCAGAGTAAAATAAACTTGAAAAGTGGATCACAAAGTGCTATGAAAGTTAAAGACCTGTCAAGAAATGTGACTTGTTTGGGAGATCAGAAAAGGCTTTGTGTCTACAGCCATGCCACCCTAAACATGCCCAATCTTGTCTGATCTCAGAAAAGGCTTTGTGCAAGAAATCACCCTTGAATACTTGATTCCAATAGACAGGTTGAAAGAGGCAAGCTGAGGGCTCACCATGAACATGCAGGAAGGACAAACCACAAGCTTGAGGAAAAGTGAATTGTGCAGTTTGACTAAATCTTAAAATGATCAGGAGAAGGACAGAATAGAAACATCGAGGACCACTCTATTTTAAAAGGCAGCAGTGAACTTCTGAAGACTTGTGTGAAGGAAAATCAAGTTAAAGAAACCTCTTTTCAAAGATGAATTAGGCAGCAGGAAATGACATCAATTGTCTTCTAGGAGAGAAGTAAGAAAGGCCAGAATTAGGATGATGGTCAGCATGAACAGGGGAATGAATGAGATCTCTTGAAACACAACAGAATCGAAGAAAGGGTTCTGTTTATTTGCTTAATGAAGGTGCCATAAAATACTGAGAGATTGACTGTCTACGCGAACTAGGCTATTTATGAAGCAAAATCCCTCTGACTGTGGAAAGGTAAGAGATTAAAAAGATAGAGGAATTAGTTTTCAAAAAAAGAAAAGACACTTCTTTCTCAGATAAGAATGAAGGAGATGGAGGTAGAGATAGTTTGAGGTAGGGAACAGAAAGTTGAGGTAGGGAACTTAATTCAAAGTGAGGTGTCTTGACAACAAAGAAACTTTGAAGTAGCATTTTTACATATAACTTTGTTTGATTTCTCAAAACATCTTTTATTTTATCAATCAGTGGAGAGTAATCCTTGCGTTTAAGATAAAAACTGATTACTCTGCTTGACTTCTGAATTTTCTATTATAACCTGAGCCCAAGGGAGCTGATCAAACATTTTCTCTCAGTAGGTACCTGTCACCAAAATACTGTGATCCAACCAAGCAGGTCTGTTCAATTGTCCATAAACTTATCTGGATAAACTTTAATCCAAATCCTGCATTCTTTTCATCCTACCAAACTGCTATTTTCCCTTTCTTCTTGTTTGTATAAATCTTATTCACCCTCCAAGTTTGCATATAATACCAGTTCTTTCAAGTGGCTTTCCCTGCCACTTCAACTTTTAGTGGACCCTTATTCTTCCCCAGATAAAATAGTTTGTACTAATAATGTGTCAGGCATTTTAGCAGCTAATTATATATTATCTTCTGTTTTTACTTATGCTTGTATATGTTTTGTCTGGGGGAAGAATGGGAATTTTAACAATGTATTTGTAAGTATCACAGAATGATTATGAGAGGAAAGAAAGTGAGTAGATTCAGGAGGAGAGTATTTGTAAAGGACAACCCAAGTGAGTAGTGGAAGTATAGTTAAATACAAACACAAAGAAAAAGAATGAGAAAAAAAGAAAAAGAAAAAGAAGTATAGTTAAAAACAAACACAAAGAAAAAGAATGAGAAAAAAAGAAAAAAAGAAGAAAAAGAAAAAGAATGTGAAGACTAAGAAACTTCTTCAACACAGAGGCATTACTGTAGAAAATGATAAATTGAACACTAGCTTGGAAGAAAACTGGAGTTAATTTGATTTTTTTATTGATGTCTTATCTAGAGCTTATCTAGAATGTCCTCTAAAACAGAATTAATCATACAGACTTGGTTCTAGGCCGTCAGCTGAAAAAGTCAAATC